ACTCTCACTCACTCTCACTCACTCTCACTCACTCTCACTCACTCTCAGTCACTCTCACTCCCTCTCACTCACTCTCATTCACTCTCACTCACTCTCACTCACTCGCACTCACTCTCACTCACTCTCACTCTCACTCACTCGCACTCACTCTCACTCATTCTCACTCACTCTTCGCTCACGTTCACTCACTCTCACTCACTCTCACTCACTCAACTCACACATAGTAGTAGTGAGTAGTGATGAGCAGTAGTGAGCAGTAGTGCGTATTAGTGCGAAGTAGTGAGTAGCAGTGAGTAAGTAGTAGTAGTAGTAGTAGTCGTAGTCGTAGTAGTAGTAGTAGTAGTGGTAGTAGTAGTAGTAGTGTAGTAGTAGTAGTAGTAGTAGTAGTAGTGGTAGTCCTAGTGGTAGTCGTAGTAGTAGTAGTAGTAGTAGTCGTCGTCGTCGTCGTCGTTGTCGTAGTGGTAGTAGTAGTAGTAGTAGTAGTAATAGTAGTAAGTATAAGTAGTAAGTATAAGTAGTAAGTATAAGGAGTAGTAGTAGTAGTAGTAGTAGTAGTAGTCGTCGTCGTCGTCGTAGTGGTAGTCGTAGTAGTAGTAGTAGTAGTAGTAGTAGTAGTAGTAGTAGTCGTGGTAGTAGTAGTAGTAGTCGTCGTAGTCGTGGTCGTGGTCGTGGTCGTGGTCGTGGTCGTAGTAGTAGTCGTAGCCAATCGGGCCACACCAATACAGTGGATGGGCTTTCACCCTTGATGCCACACCGTCGACATATGATCCCAGGAGTCAAGTCTGGGTGTTTGGGCTGTGTGTCCACACCCAAACCATGGGACAACTTCGCCGGCTTGGCGCAATCGCTGGAATCCCCCAAGGGTCCACAAACAAAAGCCAGGGCCCTGTTTGCAGGTCTAATTTTGTAGTCGCACTGACCAAACATACCACCACTCCGGTCAAGGTCATAGTCCAGCTCAGTGCTGTCTGGGAAGCATGGCACCACCCACCACACCAACGCCAATTCCAGGACTTGCTGGAGGACCTCACCCTGCAAGATCGGAAGCGAGTCACGGTGCTTTACATAAGCAAAAATACCCGGACTCCAGATGCACCCGGGAATGAACCACAGCTCCGACGAAGACAGAGAGACGCTGCCCTGACAGCCTGGGAGCGCGCCAATGCAATGCATGATCGCAGGCACACAGAATGGCAACAGACAGTAGGCCAGGAGCACATACAGATCTACAAACATGCTGTTCAAAGGCTTGAGAAGATCTATGCAGACAAACAGTGACAAACAGCATTACATCCACAGCAAAGCTCCCAGACATCAAGGCAAGCAGACCAAGCAACACAAAAAAGACTTGGTGCAGCAGCGCAAGAAGCCCTGGAACCCCAACCGTCACAGATGGGAACCGCATCGAAGTGGATACCACTGCAGCGCATGTGGCACTCGCACGCATCAAGGATTGACTACCCCAATCCTGGAAGCACGCCTACAGGAAACCTGCCCACAGCTGCAGGTCGATGCAAGCCGCACAGCACCACCCCACACAGCACCGGCTCTCAACAAAAAAATCACCGGAGCACAAAACATCAAGGAGCTGCTTCAAGCTCAGGCTGACACGGAGCCTGGCCCAGACCAACACCACTTTGAAGAAACAAAGGGATACCTCAAGTGCACCAAGTGTGGATCCAATATCCACAAAAGGACCAATGAGGAGGCACAAGACTACATCAACAGTCCATGCCTGGACCAAGCCTACGCGGACAAGCATGAAGGCCACAACCTCTGGCAAAAAGGGGAACGGGTCAGCTGCACCCCCTGTGGCCTCCAGTGGCACCTCGACAGCCAAAAGAGGATCGTCAGCGCCACAGGCTTCCACAAAAAAGGAGCGGGACTCAAAGGCTCACCACCACTCCAGCACTTCTTCAAACCGCAGAGCCCAGCACGTCAGCCACCCAGAGCATTACAGATGCTCACAAGGAGGCACCTCTCAAAGAAGAGAGCAACACCGGCGCCACACCGCGAAGGCTGCACTTCCGCACATAGCTCGACATGCGAGAGCTTGAAGATGCCCAGACCCATCCTGCCAAGGCCATGAAACCCAGCCAAAATGCAGGACCACTGACCGAGGAAGCCACACCACAGCACTGGCGTCACAAGCCACAGAAGCTAGAGGCACAGACTCTGCTGATGGGCACGAGACAGCAGAAGAAGAAACCACAGAGCAAGACGAGCTGATGGCGGTCGACTTCTTCTATAAACCCTGGCGGACCAGCAGCGGCGTAGACATGCCAAAGGCATTGAGACTCCAGCGGAGAGAAAAGCCCCTCTAGGGAAAATACATACAAAAATACATACATACATACATACATACATACATACATACATACATACACACACATACATACATACATACATACGTACATACATTCAAGCACATTTGAGGACAAAACCGGGTACAGGAGCCTCTACGGCACCTTGATGAAGCCGACAGGGTCATTCTGACCAAAGGGCTCCGCAAGGAATGCAGGGGACAGAGTCAAACCTCTCCCACGCAGGTCCAGCTCTTTGGTTCTCAGACCAAAGGCAGCCAAGCAGCAACGGGCCATGACACCCAGCCGGCACCGAGAACGCCGAACCAGATTTCGACACCATTAGAAGTGCTCCCAAAAAGCTCAAATTCTCTGCCGAGAACCTGAGCCCCTCAGCTGCACCGGCCATGACACCCCATGAGACGGCGGAAGAGGAAAGCAGAGAAGATGACCCTGAAATGGAAGACTACCATGGTGGACTTTTTCTAGAAGCTCCACCACCCTGAGAGCCCGGATTCCACGCAAGAAGGCCAGATTCACACAAGAAACTACGGGCCTCCATGTAGCCAACATCACATCCTTTGGCAAACACGCGTTGGACTGGTTCTGGAGCAGAGACAATGAGCTCCACGCGTTCATCGAAACACATCTGGACCAGCAAAAGCACCACTCCATGTGCCAATACTTTGAAGTCAGGGGACGACATGCCTTCTAGCAGCTTGGGAAAGGGCCAACACCATCCGCCTGGCAACGAACTCTGGACCAAGACCATCTGCAGGTCTACCAGCATGCAGCGGGCTGTGCTCATTTGCCATCAAGGACAAACCCATCAAGCCGGACACTACTTTGCCATCCTCATCTACCGTGATCTGATGTGGATTGCAGATGATGGCAAGGTGGCACAACACCTGCCGCATTTGACACCCAAACTAGCCAGCCAGATTACTCGAGTCTGGGCAGTCAATGCTGACATCTTCAAGACGCCACAACAAGTGCTTCAGGGTTTGCCACCAGCCGAAGAACCAGACTTTGATCCTCTTTACACCCAAGTCCGATGAAGAAGGCCAGGTATGAGCAGGAACACAATGCGCTCTACTTTGCCAACGTGACCAACATGGGAAGACAGGTCATTGACTGGTACTGGACCAGGAACTCAGGCATTTACATCTTTGCTGAAACCCATCTGGACCCACAAAAGCATCATGAGCTGCGTCAATACTTCACCATCCGTGGACGCAATCTTCGGGGCGCCAGCCAGTCCAAACCAGGACAACTCTGGAACACATATTCTGGTCCTTGCACGCGGCATCACGGACTTTGGCAGCTACAGCATCCAAGGCTGTGGATATCAAGCGTTCCTGTGGCAGGCCACTGAGAGCACCATATTGGTCATAGGCCTGTACCTCAAGACAGGCGAGACACTACAGCGTGACACCAGTGCATCCATCGTTGCCAAGGTGTTAGCCCTTCTTGAACAGACAACCCATCCTTATGTGGTGATTGGTGACTGGCAGAACCACCCTGACAGCGTGGCCAGTACCGTTCTCCCAGCCAAGTTTCATTTTGGCATCCTGGCTCCAGATTGCAGTCTGCTCTCAGCCAATGTCATCGACTATGCCATCCTGCAGGACACACTTGCCAGCGCAACAGCCCTCACCACAGAATGGGCTGTACCATGGCGGCCACGCGCCCTACTCAAGCTCCAATTCAACATTGAAGAAGCCACCCGGGAATACAGACAAATGCAGCACCTCCCA